CAGACCGCCTCACAGGCTCCCTGTTATCTATTACCTGTGCCCAATCCCTGGCCCTGCTCTCACCTAACCCCGCCCACTCTCCAGCCTATGCATTACCCCCCATCCCATGACTTAGCTCCAGCTAGAGCTCTTCAAGACATTTGGGTTGTGACCCCTAAATTCTGTAACAAACCCACCAATTTATTCAGCTAAGAAAACTATCTCCGAAAAGGACAAGGATTTACCCAAGGCCTGGGTTTACTGGGTTTGGATATGCAAGTCTCCTTCCTGAATGGCCTTCCTAAGATGCCCAGCTCGGGGGTAGTCTGCAGACCAAAGGAGCTCCTAGGGATGTGGAGGGCTCACCCTTGCAGGCTGGCTCTGTGTCGTTCCAGTGGGGTTCTGTGGGATCCACACATTCGATGGCATTTGGGGGGCCAGGGGGCTCCAGGGCATATCCTGGGAGGCACGAGAAAGTGGCCAGTGCCCCTGGGCGGTACTCAGGGTCCGTGGTGGTGACATTGCCATGTGCCAGGAAGGGAGCGAAGCAGCGATCTTCTTCAAAGGCTAGAGATGGGGTCAGTCCCAGGAAGTAAGCATGAGGATAGGCCTCAGGGGATCTCAGACTGGGGGGACTTGGGCTGAATTCAAGTGTGGTTTGGCCACTTGGTGGGCTGTTTAAAATGGAATGCCTTTGGGCTTAGCTTTCACCCTCCAGTCTCCTGAAAATCCTAACCCCTCTCACTCACACATATATGTTACCTTCCTGGCCTCTAGAGGGAAACCCCTAGGCTAGTCAAATCCCAGTCCCCATTCTACGGATGAGGAAACTGAGGTCCACAGACAAAAAAAATCGCTTGCCCAATGTCACACAGAATCAGGTCTCAAACCCAGATTGCTTGATTCCCAGCCAGAGCCACTTGGTTTTGGAAACTGCAGAGGAGGGAGGGGAAAGGGTGCCTTTGGAGAACTGGCTCATGCAGGTGTGTTCTCTCCTCAAAAATAACAGTTAGAAGGGCACCTGAGTGCCTCAGTGGGTTAAGTGTCCGACCCTTGGTTTCGGCTCAGGTCATGACCTCAGGGTCGTGGGATCAAATGGAGTTCCACATTGGGCTCTGCACTCATCGGAGAGTCTGCTTGTGTATTCTTTCTCTCCCTCTGCCCCTCCCGCCACTCATGCTCTCTGTGTCTCTCTCTCTCTCCCTAAAGTAAATAAATAAATCTTAGAGAGAGAGAGTGCAGGGGTGGGGAGGGGCAGAGGGAGAGGGAGAGAGAGAAATCTCGAGCACACACCCCGCTGAGCGCAGAGTCCGACTTGGGTCCTGATCTCACGACCCTGAGATCATGACCTGAGCTGAAACCAAGAGTCGGCCGCTTAACTGACTGAGCCACCCAGGTGCCCCATAAATAAATCTTAAAAACAAAACAAAACACAGATTCTCCCCACCCTTGATTATCCATGCTGTAGCTAGAATCCAAAAGTGCAGTGAATGCAGAAGCTACTCAATTTTGACTTTGGACTAACTCAGCAAAAATGAACATTTGGAGATCATTTTAGTTTTTGCCCATGTGATCATGTCTTAGCTGCAAAATGATCAGAGGACTCTGAAGCTCATGGAGCAACAAGGGCCCACAACTAGGGAGGCAGACCTCAAACCTGGGAATTGTTTTCGTATTTTCAAATCTAACAGGCAACTTATTTTTCAGATCTGTTCTAGTTC